CTTAGGACAGGTGCAAACAAATGCAGCGGAATTAAACGTTTTAATAGTAACAAACCTTCTCCCTTTTCTGAATCAATAGTTTAACATCACAACATTACATTGTACTAGTAAAAAGTAAAATAACAAAATTACAAAACTCTGCTGCGTAAACGATTAACAGAATTCAGTGCAAACAGTGAATGTTGGTTTAGAATTGAATACCGTGATTTTAAGTGAACTTATACTGATACATGATAAAACGTGAAATTTAAAAGTAAATGGAAAACAAAAAAAAAGCAACAACAATCATGTGAAAAACGTATATGATCTGTGCAAGGCAGTACTCGGAATAAACAGATTTGTGATTAGTTCATAGTACTAGTGCATTACATATGCATTCATGAATAATTCTAGATGTTCAGATGTATTCGACAATGTACTTTTTTTCCAGAATGTCCTCGAGTAAGGTGCATTGAACCATGTCCATACGGTTTTGTGATTGACAAACATGGTTGTCAGACATGTTCATGCAGTAAGTAATACACATGTATACGACACATATAAAACTAAAGAAACATGTTTTGGTTACAGTGTTGAAGTAGCATTGAATATAAATTATCATTGCTTTATAAAGTCCATTGCTCAGGTAAGGTATGACTTGTTCATGGGCTAGTTCACACTCGACTCTTAACAGAAACCTTGTCTATTTGAGCAAATCTCAATTATGAAAGTCTTTGGTCGGGTTGTTGTCTCTTTCACACATTCCCCGTTTCCATTCTCAGTTCTATTTTTTCTGAATACTTTTAGAAACTTTTAGCCGAAACCTTAAGAAAAAGATTTTTTTTTTTATGTCCAAAAGCACGATTCTCTGATTTGACTTTATTTCTACAATTTGTAATCAAAGCGCAAGTGGCACACTTTCATTTAACAATTGAGTCACGCGTATTATCGGTTGTTACGGAAAAAGCTTCTTCATTATTCAAAACATATATTGATTTGTATTTAACGTAGAGTTACTAATAATTTACAGTTACCTGTCAAAAGTTTCATTTGAATGGAATGAGCTAAATAATATCCATTGCCACTAAGAAAAAAGGGGAATATGTTCAAAGCGTTTCTAATGTGCAAACTACATAAAATTCATCCCACGTGAAATATACGATTGTATGCGTGTCTAACATTAATACTTTTGTTTGTTTAAATGTCTATTTTTTCCATGACGGTTTTTTCCGACTTATGCGTTTGAATTTCCCTTTAGTATCCTTCGTCTTCATTTGGTTGTATATTTCTTTTTCCTCGAGTACTTTATTCTTTCTTCCATTCTCCTCTAAATATTTATATCGAATCTGTGATCACGTGGTAGCGCGCACGTGTTCGCCTCGAATGCTTTAGGTATTAGGTTTTAACCCCATCCGGATCAAATCATAGTCTTTAAAAGTTCTGTCAAGGAGTGAGAACAAAGACGGTAAGCTTGGAGTATGAATAATGTGTCCGGATAGGTTTACATGTCTTGCTGCAGACTGTTACTTTGTGAAATAGTACATTCAAATTGGGCTAAGTGTGTCGATCTAGTACAAAGCAGTGTTGATCTTTCTACATTAGCATGTTCTGGTCCTGAAGTTTATTTTGCCCCTGGATGTTAAGCAGCCATTTTTTATCATCATCTAAGTATCAATTGACAAATAAAATAAGTCATAGTACAAACGCATTTGCGTTTTTTACAGAACCTAGATGTCCACCTGTTTGTGCTGTAATCTGTCCATTTGGATTTGTACTGGATGAAAACAACTGTGCAACTTGTGAATGCAAAACAGGTAATGAAATGCGGTAGTATTTTTTTAATGAGACATAACCGTATTAGGTATGTCGTTAACATACATTTAATACGAGAAACTCATTCTATGAACAGGATATATGCTTATCGTGTATATCTTAAACACATATGTAATAGGTAATAAGAGTAACTCAATTCATGGATCGGATATATACAAGTAACCTTTTTAGATATATGTTAAACATACATTCAACTGTATATGTACGGATATTATAGATATGTAAAAAAAAATGTCATCAGTAATATTGAGGACCTGTGTAGCTTTCAGATATACATTTCAGATATAAAATAGCAATGACGGAGTGTGTATACTCACTTAAACAAATTTGTAAACAAATTAAGTGGGCCATACATCATTGAAACAACAACAAAAATGGGATCTTTACCATTTTTAAAAACTCATCTTCAAGATTGTCATCATCACTGACTCAAACATAATGTAAAGATTAAACTGATTTTTTTTTAATTTGATATACAATTGTCTACATTGCAACAAATAAACCAACAACGAACACGTGGTGACAGTATAGTAATTATTTTCATTGATCCCAGGAGTTACAATTTTTTCAAATCCGTTCAGAAAATGTTTGTAAACGCAGTTCTGAATATTCCAGTCTAATCTGAAAGCAACCTCAAAGTAATCACATAGAAAAAATATATTTATAGAATTAGTGCTGTTTTGAACGTCAGCTACATCTTTAGTTTTCTATGTTGTGTCTTGTGTACTATTATTTGTCTGTTTGTCTTTTTATTTTTTCGCCATGGCGTTGTCAGTTTATTTTCAATCTATGAGTTTGACTGTCCCTCTGGTATATTTCGCCCCTCTTCTACACTTTGGAGTAGATTTCAAAGAACATAGTTGTGAATAAAGCAATTAGACTTAACAGTGTGCATTGCAAACATCTTGACCATGGAATTTCGATACACAAATTAACAAATAAAACAAAATTAGTATGTGCTTAAAGAGAGCACTACTAGGGCAAATATGCCACACTTGTGTCATCCATGTACAACAATATACCATGAAACGCATGTGTTACATATGTATCACATGCGTGACGCGCACGATTCGCCACAAGCATGTGAATCGCACGTGTCTGAAAATACGCAATTGATATAGCACAATAACCTGTATAAAGAAAGACGTTATGTTCTTTATATCATAGCAAAAGAGATAAAATACTTTTTATGATATGTTCGATTGACGAACATGGTATTCATTCAACAAACCAAATGACTTTGCACTTTTGATAAAGGACTCACTGTTTTGAATTTTACTTGGGGTTCGGTATTTTTGAATGTTTACTTTTACATTTATCTTCTTTTTCAGGATGTGCAGGTAATGTTAAACCGTTGCAATCAATCAAGTGTGGTGAAGGTGGACAAAGATGTCCCGCTCAATATCAATGCAACTCACCACCACATGATAGCGCTGGAGTATGCTGTCCTTATGGTATGTTCTTAACGTAAATTTAAGGAATAACTGTACTGTAGTTGAAGAGTTGCCACCGTCAATTGGCGATTTGACGGTCGCAAATGCAGTTTTATTGGCGACGCGTAGCAGTACAGTACTGTTATTCCGATTCTAATGCATTACAAAAAGAAATAATACGTTAAAGCTTGAAAAAATGCATAAATTTGAAATTTAATAAAATTCCGCGACACTTCATGAATGATTTTGGCGCAAAGACGTCATGGTTAAACATGACGTCATACAAATGAAAACTTACAAACTGAAGGTTATTTCGTTGCTTCTACGATTCAAATTTGGATAAAATCACATCAAAACGGCGATTTTGAGGTAGGTGTTGTTTTATTTTCGATAATATTGTAATAATCTAACATTTGTTGATCCATGAATTCAAAATGGCGGGTCCCTCCTTAGTTACGACTGGTCGACTGTGGATTTGACGGTAACTTTTAGCCAATGAAAAATATTGTTACATAAAAATTGCTTTAGAATATTACCTTTACTGTGTAGGCTATTTTTGTAATATCCATTTGACGTGGCTCGGTATTTTTACTTCCCGTCATTGTGTTATTGTACTATGGTATTAATTTTTTGTATTCTTGTCTTTCCTTTTTGCTTATGTGCTTTGTCTATATGCCATTTTGTTTTTCTTCGTTGGCATATTTGTTTGTTTTTATAGTGATTAAGATTATACTAGTAACACAATGTTGAATGCTGTACCCTGTTTTTTTTCATTTTAACTTTTATGTCTTGTTTGTTTTGTTCACACATCCCTGACGATGTAATGGAATTTTAAGCGACTTTCATACAAATAAAGGCAGTGAGAGGTTAAGCTAGCTATAAAACATGGTTAAATCCACCATTTATTACGTAAGAAAATACCTGTACCATGTCTGAAATATGACAGTTGTTATCTATCCTTGAAAGATATGTTTGGGCTTTTGATTTTGCCATTTGATAAGGGACTTTTCGTTAAGAATTTTCCTCGGAGATCGGTATTTTTGTTAATTTCCTTTTTTCTTAGTTAGGTCGTTAGTTTTCCCGTTTGAATAGATTTACATTTGTCACTTCCAGACCGTTTATGTCTTACTATGCGGTATGGATTTGCTCATTGCTGACGGCGGTATTGTGACCTATTGTTTTTAACTGTTATGGCAATTGGTATTTGGTAACGATTTGTTTTATTGGTAATCATACCACATCTTCTTATTTTGATATCTACGTTGTCTAAAAAAAACTATCAACCAATTATTCATTAATACAAATGAAGTTAAATAGATAGTGTCTTTTTGTCCTTTTTTTATTTTGTCAGCTATTGACGTTTTTATAAGTTTTGGATTTTCAATGACCCCGATCTTTGATAAAGAGACATTTATTGTCGAAATGCTCATCTGGTGCAGAAAAGTTATTACCGGTAATCTTTATTATGACACAGTTTGATAGTTATTTTTTAGTCCATAAACATAACTTGAACTTTATGTTGCAGTGCCTAGTGCATGTAGTGGTATCTTTTCTTAGTTGATTTTTTCGTTCTGTTCAGATATTGTTTGGTTTCCTGCTCTCCATTGTTTGGTACTTTTGGCTTTAAAAAAACTTTCGGCAGTGTACCTGATTATTCGAGCAAACTCTGAAACTGGTAGATATGTTTTGTACACTAGTATTCGTTAATATCTAATGGATCTAGAATGTATATATTTTATCTATTATTTTTTTCAGTATGTCCTCAAATAAAATGCAGCCGACCATGTCCATACGGTTATAAACATGACGTCAATGGATGTCAGACATGTCAATGTCTACCTGGTGAGTTAGTTCAGAAATATAGTGCATGAGCTTTAATATACCTCCGCGAAAAAAGAAGTATACTGGTTTATTGTCAGTCCGCCCGTCCGTCCCATAAATATTTGTCGTCGCATCTTTCTCAGGAACTAAATTACAAAGATTTCTGAAATTTGGTTTCAGGGTTTATATCAGTCAGCTATTCTGTGTGATGCGTTTTTCAGATTCATCACTCAACAACTTCCTGTTTACCTTATACTTTTAGAGGGCGGGGTATCATCAGTGAGCTGTAGCTCACAGATTCACTTGTTTTTGTCTGGAAAGGGGTGTTATTGAGATAAAATAAGAAGTTTACCATAAGTGTTGGGTAGCTGCCTTATTTATCTTTTTTTCCCGTATAACAGCTATAGTTAATAAAAGTTACATCACACACTGGGTTATTGGCTATTTGTACAGTTGTATGTTAGTATTGTCTATTTGTAATGCATTTTATATCCTTCTACACATTCTGAATCGAAAAAAAATGATTGATTGATTGATTGGTGTTTCACACCACTTTAAGCACAATTTTGCTTTTTCGTGGCGGTCGGTTTTTATTTGTGGCAGAAGGCGGAGTGCCTGGCTGGAACCACCGACCATCGTTACGAAAACTGACAATCCTAGTCAATTACGATTGGAGTCTAATGCACCTGCCACATGGCTGTTTACTTTTTTCAAATAAATTGATGTCATTGAATCTTCGTACAACCGCCCATTTTCGAATTAATTGTAATGAAGAATAAGTCGCAATTCAAAAAGTCCTGGCAGTGATGGACAGAAGGGATGTTGCAATCCTCATTTGGAATAACGAAATAGGTCTAGTTAATTAGTAACACATTTTGTTTATATTTCTGTTTAAAGAAAGGATTAGAAATTATCAACAAAAGAATATTATTTAATACTTTCCTCTAATGAAACCAGAAGCATTAAAACTGAAATTCGTTTTCCTAAAAACAAATATATGACTTCTATTGTATTATATTGTATTGTAAAATTTAGATCAACTCAAAATTCCTCTATTGCACATTTACATTCTTATAGCATGTGAAAAAGGAACGCCTCAAGGCACATGTAGACATGGACCATTTGACAGTAAACCGTGCCCATTGGGAACCTACTGTACAAATTCAGTCTGCTGTAAAATCCGTAAGTGACTTAATTTTAATCAAGGTTTCCATAGATATAAAAATAAGAACATGTGATTACCAATGAGATAACTCTCCACCAGATACCAAATGACATAGAAGTTATCAACTATAGTTCACCGTGCGATCTTCAACCATGAGGAAAACTCATACCGCATAGTAAGATATCAAAGGTCCAGAAATGACAAATGTAAACCAATTCAAACGAGAAAATAATGGCCTGATGAACAAAACAATTAAAGAATATTTGTGAGTACGCTCACATACTCCATGCCCCCACATTGTCAAACAAAATATAACCAGACGCAAGTTCAAAGACTCATAAATAACTGCTACCAAAGTCAACTATATATGCACATCTTCATAGTATGTTCTAAGTATCTTCAAAGTTTCGTGAAGTTCTGTTGTGTGATTTCAGACAGTTGCGATCACAAACTGTTGCAGTAGTGTATTAAGGTCCAAATCTATTCTCAAAGGGGCATAACTCCTAGAAAAAATGAATAATTATTTCCTGTCGATATGGACATCTACATAAATTTTTCTTATTATCTACAAAATTTCGGGAAATTCTGTTCCGTGGGGTATAATCAAAGAAAAACAAATAAGATAAACAGTAACAAACGTTAACCACTGAATCACATCTCCTGACTTGGGACAATCTCATGAATACATTGTTGTCCAATAAGCATTATATAATAAGATCAAAAATACCAATTACGCTCCATCCGAAGAGCTATTTCTTTTTACACGTTTTCATCCAGAACTCTCCGCTTAAAATTATAAAATATGATATTTTAAATTAAACTAGAGGAAACATTGCCAAAAGATGTCTGAAGGGAACTTATTGTGCCAGATACGGGGTCTACAGAAGACACTTCAGTCTTATTCAAGTTTGTACACTCTTGTTCTCAATTGTCTATTGTCGTTTTAGTTGGTTTGTGTTTATGGTACTTTGAGCAATCTTAAAATTGAAAATAGAAATGGGGAATATGTCAAAGGGACAACAACCCGACCAAAGATCAGATAACAGCCGAAGGCCACCAATGGGTCTTCAACGCAGCGAGAAAATCCCGCAGCCGGAGGTAGGCCTCAGCTGGCCCCTAAATGAAAATGTGTACTAGTTCAGTGAAAATGGACGTCATACTAAACTCCAAAACATATAACTGAACTTAAATTAAAAAACATACAAGACTAACAAAGGCCAGATGCTCCTGACTTGGGACACGCGCAAAAATGCGGCGGGGTTAAACATATTTTGTGAGATCTCAACCCTCCCCCTATACCTCTAGCCAATGTAGGATAAAGATACACACAGCAGTACGCACAGTAAAACTCAGTTTAAAAGAAGTCCGAGTCCGATGTCAGAATAGGTAACAAAAGAAACTAAGTAAAATGACAATGATACATAAATTAAGAAAGGACTACTAGCAGTTACTGACATGCCAGCTCCAGACCTCAATTAAACTGATTGAAAAATTATGTCTTCATCATATGAAAATCAAGCACAATCCCTCCCGTTAGGGGTTTAGTATCAGACCATCATAAAATATATGAGAAGAACATAACCCGTATCATGCCAACAACTGGTTTTAGAATAAGGGAGCTACCATTTGATTTTTTTTTTGGGGGGGGGGGGGGGGGTGTCTAGGATGAAATTTGGAAAAAAAGGCAGGACAGGAGTTTTGAGTAAAAAAAAGGCAGGATGAGCAACTTGGCCAAAAAGGAGGCAGGATGACAATTTATGTAAACAAAAGTCAGGATAACTAATAAAAGAAAAGGCAGGACCCAATAAAATGAAAAATAAAAAGGCAGGACAGAGATTACAACTAAAAAAAAAGGCAAGACAAAATTTTTCATCCTAGCCCCCCCCCCCCCCCCCCATAAAAATCAAATTGTAGCTCCCTAAATGTGTTTATTTCCGATGCAAAGACCCTATGAGTGAATCAATAACAATACCAAAATATGCCATTGGTTATATTATTGCTACATGTACCATGTTTTATTGGCGACGGAGGCTGGATTACCAGGACAGAGAACCACCGACCGTCAATCAATGTCAGTTAAAATCAGAGTCGAACACAACTCGCCACAACCACACGTCTTTAGTGTTGGCAGACTAGTGAGCACTGAGCGTACTTCCCGGTGACCTAGAACTCAGTGTGTTATGGTGGGAATTGTCCATGTAAATATTATAAATACGTTAGGGACACGTCTCCAATAATTCCGATAGGCAGTGTACACGGATTACACTGTACCCTCACAGCTATCGATCGAGGGTTGTTCTGACTAACGGCGGAATCTACCAGTACTAACTTACATACATACTCAACAGGGCTATCAATGATATTTTTATATTATGTATATTAATAGCCTGTAAATTCAGTTATCCACTAAACAGGGTTATCAATGATATTTAAATTTTGTAAATGTATAGCCTGTAAATTTGGTGATCTACTAAACAGGGTTATCAATAATATTTATATTTTGTCTATTTATAGCCTGTAAATTTGGCGATCCTCATCCAACACTTTCCTGTGGAATGGTTGTCGGCTCCAACGAGTGTCCAGCTGGATACAGTTGCCTAGGCGGACCTGCTGATGAATACTTTGCTTGCTGTCCTGACGGTAATCATATATTTTTTTAACTTTTAACTATTTTTTACGCGAGATGGTTTCATTAGATTGCCTGTATGGTACATCGTAAACTGTTTACAAAATCTCTATCTTGGCAATGAATTAACATTACACGTAGCAAAACCATTAGGGTATGTTATATTAGTATTCGGCTTTTAGCGTTCCTGATAATGGTATATCCAGAAAAGAGCATCGGACGCATGAAAATGATTAATTGCATGTTGTTTTCATTTATTATCAGGAACTTTTTTTATTCAAGCTTCAATGATGAGTCTTTTGTAGACGAAACGCACGTCTAGCGTACAAAATTATAAGCCTGATATATTATGATTTTTTATCATTATATCTATGATTCCAATCCACATCTGAAAAAGAACCGCGGTTGCTATGAATAGAACATACTCCTCAAATATAGATAATTTATAATGGTCAAGTATTCTTAGCGGTCAAGTGCAAATATATTTGTCAAGTCATCTGAGCGCCGAAGTACATATATAGTTCAGTGGTTGTCGTTTGTTGAAGTGTTTCTCGTTTTTATATTGATTAGACCGTTGGTTTTCCTGTTGGTTTTACACCAGTCATTTTGGCGGTCCTTTATAGCTTGCTGTTCGGTCTGAGCCAAGGCTCTGTGTTGAAGACCGTAATTTGACCTATAATGATTTACTTTTACAAATTGTGACTTGGATGGAGAGTTGTCTCATTTGCATTCATACCACATCTTCTTACATCTATTGTCAAGTATTTCGTCACATATTTATTCAAAACTAGTGAACAGAATGACTTCAAATATAGTCATCAGTTCAACAGTGATGAGTCAAAACATGTATGATATTTTTGGATATATAAGACAATTACTTATTGTTCCGATACTTTTAAATATCAGCAGTGGTATGTTAAATATAAAAAAAAAGAAAAAGTGGTATGATTGCCAATGAGACAACTCTTCACAAGAGACAAAATGACAAAGAAATAAACAACTATAGGTCATCGTACGGCCTTCAACAATGAGTAAAGCCCATACCGTATAGTACGCACGACAACACGTGCATTATGTTGTATGAATGTCTTATATCATCAATGTGTTTTACTTTGTAGAAAATAAGCCAACACCAGACAAATGTCCAAGAGACAGATACCCAAAGTCAAGGTGTTATGTCCGACGAAGCTGTAAAAATGATTCATCTTGTCGTGGGAAGAAAAAATGTTGCAAACAAGGATGTCGATATAAATGTGTAAATCCTGTTTACTGAACAGTTCTACTGAAATAAACACTATATAAGTGTGCTGTTAATTTATAAACTTAGTTAAATAAAGTTAATTTAAACTTCTTATCTGTTAAGCGTTCTTATTAGTTTTTGCTAGTACTATAGAGAGAAGTACATGAGACATAAACGCAAAATAATAAAGTAAACAATTGTGAAATAACATTTTTATGCACACCCTGATAAGTTTTATCTTTGTCCGTCTCATTGTGAATCATAACTCATCTCCTTATTTATATACAGTTAGAGAACGGAAACTAATTTTTGGAGGTTCGGACGTTCTGAAATTTGTTTCCGTTCTCTAACTGTATATAAATAAGGAGACGTGGTATGATTTACAATGAGACAACTATCCGCTATAGTTCAAATGAAGCAGATGTTAGCAATTATAGGCAACCGTAAGACCCTCAACAATGAGAAAAACCCATACCGTATGGTCGGCTATAAAGGCCCCAACATGAAAAATATGAAAAATTTTAATTGAGAAAAAATAACGGCCTAATGTATAACAGAATAATTAACGAAAACAAATATGACAGACATGAACCAACGACAACCACTGATCTACAGGCTCCTGATTTTGGACCGGCACATAAAAAATGTGGCGGGGTTAAACATGTTTGTAAGCGCTCAATCCTCCCCTAACCTGGGACAGTGATGTAACAGCGCCAACATAAGAACAAACTATAAAAATCAGTTGAAAAAGGCTTATTGGCAATCATACCACATCTTCTTTTTGATATTAACTCATCAGATAGATAGTCTGCATCAACCAAATTACACGAATCTTATACACAATATTAATATTTCCAAACACAGATCAAGTTCGTATTTGGTTGCGTCACTTACACCATTCGCGAGTTATATCCCTTTATAAATTGAAAAAAATGCTGAATTTGAAATATCTTTACGAGCGGGGGAATGGACATATTCATCTTTTATTTCAATCTTGATGTTGTACAGATGTCGTGCCATTGACAAATGGTTTTGTCAATTGTCTTATATATTGCTGAATATCATATTTTCTGTTGCCTCATTGATATTAACTGAACATCGCCGTTTATTCATAATCGTCGAAGTCAATTAGAACACATGAACCTTCATCTTGAAAACGAAGTATGTCTAATTTCACCAATGAAAGCAATTTTAAAATGTTTTTTTTTTTCAATCGAAGTTCTAACTTGCAATGTCACAGCTTTTTGTGTTCCCGTTTAAAAACGTGTTATGCAAATTTGAGAATTTTTCCTCATGACTTTAACACAGAATACGGAGAGAAACTCAAAATGAACTATTACATAAAAAGTACTACTCAAGTGGCGTTGCGACAATCGAATGATGAATGTAAGATTCGATTTAAACACATGTTACTACATAAATACCCAACCATATCAAGTATGTCCTTCGCCTTACTGAAAAAAAATTTGTAGACTATGAATATTGCACATTTTTGGACAAGGTTAAAGTAAATATATTTTGGCTAAAAAAAAAAAACAACCAAACAAGTTATCCCTCAAAACTGTAAACTCACCAGTCTTTTGAACACGATGTTTTAACCCAATAGAAAAACTTATCAACTTAATGACGTACAAAAAGAAATGGAAACATTTGTACAATAAAGTAACATTTTAAAGATGTGATATGATTGCCGATGAGACAACTCTCCACTAGAGAGCAAATGACGCAGAAGGTAAGCTACTATATTTCAGCGTATGGCATTCAACAATGAGCAAAAACCTATACCGTACAAGCTATACAATGGTCCGAAATGGCAAACGAGAAAACAAAAGGTCTGGTTTATGTACAAAACAATAAACAAACGAGAAAACTAAAGGCCTGGCTTATGTACACAACAATAAACGAAAAACAAATATTATATACAGCAAATGACAACGTTACTACTAAATTTCAAGCTCTTGACTTGGAACGGCACATACTGAATGTGGTGGTGATAAACATGTCTTCTGGCGCACCAACCCTACCCATAACCTGGGACAGTGATGTTACAGCACAACATAAGAACAAACTAAAAAAATCCGTTGAAAACGGCTCAAATCGAAACATAAAACAAAAAAAAACAACAACAAAATAATTCTTACAAAAACATAAAAGTCCCGAAGAACAGATCTGAGAGTACTCACAGTTTAACATAGAGCCCAATGAGAAAGACTTTCAAACCAAAAGAGGGTAGTAAAGGGTTATTTTCGTGCAACGTGTTTTGCCATTTTTATTTCTCGTGCAGCCGTGAAAAAGGTTCGTTATTCACCGTGTTTCGTGAAATCGTTAAAAAGATCAACGTGCAAGAAATTTTTAATTGTTCGTTCATCGTGAAATGGCAATTTTATTTCGCGTTCTTCCGTGCAGATACCCTCCCCCTTTTACGCCCCTCCCAAAACATGCACAAATGCTAATAGGATAGTGAGCACCATACTAAATATGTAGTTATGGCCACAAATTCAATTAATGAAAAAACCTATGAGTTCTGCTACAAAAGGATCAAATATAGCTAAGGGGTAATACCCTTATAACATAACTATTTATATCATACATTATATCTCGCAAAATTCTGCATGAAAGTCCCAAAGTACTAAAACTCAAATCAATCTATTACTATCCACACTGATCTGTGTCCACGCTTGTTTGCTGACAAATTGAAGTAGATATCAAAAATGCATTACAATATGTTTTGTTAATCCTTCATTTTTTAAATTGAATTTTTGATATCGAACAAAATCTGCAAACCCGGAGCAACAGAATCTGCAAACCTGGAGCAACAGAATCTGCAAACCCGGAGCACCAGTTTTTGGTGGGGTTCGTGTTGCTAAGTCTTTAGTTTTGTATATTTTGTGTGATGTTGTTTGTCTTTTTCTTTTATAACCACGGCATTGTCAGTTTATTTTCGACTTATGAGTTTGAATGTTACTTAGTTATCTTTCTTTTGAGCCAAAAAAAATACTGTTCCTGTATAGCCTGGAATTCTATACTTTTATAAGGAATTAGACATGAAGCTGGATAATTTATAAGAAAAGATAAACAAGAATCGACGTAGGAGCTGGAATTCAAGTTGGCAAACCCTCTTTAAAAAGAGACGACAAAATTATGCTGGTTTTTTTATTAATAAGACTGTAGAAATGAAAATGAAATAACTTAATTCTATAGACTATAAGACTATATGGAGAAGTTTTTCGCTTATCTCATTGTTAAGTCACTTTCAACCCCAAACCCCAAACACACACACACACACACACTTTTCAGTCCACTCCTACAAAAATGTTATTCTTATAAAAATCATTCAAAAAGAAAATGCGAAATGACAGGAGTACGTGAATCATATATTTCAGTGGCGGGTTCAGAGGTTCCAGGTCGGGGTTGGAATCCCTCCTTTTTACGATCAATGCTTTTGAATGGGATCATATGGTTGGAACACACCCTGGATCCCCCTGTCTTTCACATTCTTGTATATATTGAACCACGAATATAATTCAGAACAAGTGAACACCCACTTTCGATTGAATTTGGTAGATATATTTAAAAACAAAGAAAATATAGGGTATATTTTATGTTGGTATATAATAAGATGATGAAAATCATTTCTTTTTAAATTGTAAACTTAATGAATGAAGATAGTGTCTCTTGAACCAATTTGTTTGTATACAAACTATGTTAATAACATTGAAAAAATATGTTAGAATATTTCACCCAACAACACCCTCAGATTTCAACACAATCATGATACCGATTAAGTAGAATAATTCTACGCCCTCTAGCGGTCTATATCCTATCGAGGTTAATGTAGCAATCGGGGATTAGCCGGGGACCGGCGGAATTTAACTACTTTGGAAATAAGAAAGGAAAACCTTCAGAATAAAAATTGAGTGCTTGAGAGTCTAGATAATTATGTGATACAAAAGTCATATTATTTCTATGTTGTTTATGTTGCGTGTATGCATTGTCATGCTCAGTCCCAATTGGGCTAAAAATTATGTATATATGGTGGAATGTGTAGGTGGCACGGTAGTATTTCCTGGCCCATAAGGGATAATGATAGCCTTTTTAGAATTTTCACCACTTTCTAACACTGCTAAAAATTCTACATTCACAGTTAACTGAAGTACTTTCATTTAACTATTCAGAAATGAATTTGAATATGTATCATGACTGTTTACTTTTTTTGCTATCTTTAAGAACCTAAGGCCACTAGTGCTTTTAGGTCTTTTATCGTGCAGTGAATACAAAATTAAAAAAAATTCTCAAAAAATCATATTTATCTGTATGTAAAATTATTTCATATTTTTCTACACCTGATTCATCCCTCAGTTTGGGAAAGTATGTTCAGTTGATACTGTATTGTTTGTCCAATCATAATGTTCAGATACAGGTACACAAAAGAGCAACCTAAATTCTGGAATGCAAATACTACCGTGCTACCTTAACCAAGACATTTCAAACTTGAAATCAGTCATGACACCTATGATGCATAGCCTTCTTACTATGTAACATATTACAATAAAGAATACTAGTCTGCACTTATTTCTTACCAAAAAAAAATGAAAGATTACACCCCTACCCCAGCTGGCAGATTTTCATTTTTTTATCATCTTACCATTTTTACTTAAGGAGTGAACAAAATCCAAATATATCATGTTTCAAATCAACACAGAAGTCAAACATGGTGATTCAGGAGGAATTATTGGATTGCCAACTCTATTTATAGTTGATCTGACTGAAAGAAACAGTTTAAGCACCAAATCATGAAAAATGATATTAAAGTCCATTCCACATTTTACAGCATGCCTTACATTACTTTAAGCATTTCCAGATTATGAAGGCAACACAACAAGATCCTTTAGATGGCAGTTAACTATCATTCTAAAATCTTTTTGACAATATATGTACTAGAATATATCTCTAAGTTGACTGTTTGTCTATTTCTTATGTATGCATTAAGTTGGGCCAATTAAAATTAATTGATAGATTTTCATCCCCGCCCGCCCCTCTGAAATCGTTCCGCCCCAATTTTTTTTATTTTGAAAAATTTACGATTTCCGGATTTTTGTTCATTTTCGTTACCG